TGGTTTAAAAGATAATCAGGTACTATTTTCTTAACTATTTTCGAATACAAACTTAATCGCATAAGTTTAAAATGCTCCTCCAAGGTAAGCCATCCCAAAATCGATAAAACTTTTCCGGCTGAAGATCCCTTCATAGCTCCCAGGACAACGAGAGCAGCGTGATATTGAACTCTCTCAAGTTTTTCAATATTAGTTTTAGTTGTAAGGGAAAAAATAACAGAACCATAATTCAAAGAGGATAGAACAAATGAATTATATACCAAATCAAGAACTTGTCGGTTTAACGAATGTTTATGCATCTTCATTAAACCAACAATCGAGTTGATTTTAGTAAAAAGAAAAAGTTTTGATCTCTCTTAGCTATTGATATTTTACGAAAAAGACATAAAACGCTTATATCTCACGAACCATACCTTTTTGTACTTCAAGAAATAAAACCAGTTAGTTTTACCTTCGAAATAAACACAGTTGACAAGAATCATATTTGTACGAGGTGTGATTAAACCTGGATGAAAAGCATTTTCAATTAAATAATGTGTCTGTTTTTCCACCCATTGATTAATTTCTTCTGCTATGCGTAATCGATTTTCTTGAAAATTATCGACTTGTTTAACGTCACATTTATACAATCGTTTCAATTGATTGATGTAATCGTTATTAAATAATAGGCGATTAGTATCATTTTGTACATAAAGACGATTGGCAATAAAATAATCATCAGTTGATGTGTTTACTAGTCGATAACTTAATACTCTTAATATTTGTTGTTGTGTCACTCCTCTGGCACCCAATGCTAATATTGACAAAATCAATTGAATACCTATTGGTGATACGATAACGTTTGTATTTTGTATACTTTCGAGCAAATATGACGCAAAGTCATCGTGGTCAAGATCTATTAATTTTTCTTCGGTATTAATACCAGAGTACGGATAATCACATACATTATTCAAAAATAAGCTTCGATAAGGTGACGATGAACAACAATGAACATCATGTAAAACTAAGTAGAAGGACGCAATAGCCATTGAACATAATATTTTCATGATGTCGGTATAGTAGTCCGTAATAAATATGAATGAAGACACAATGATCATGGTTGAACTTGAAGTCTCTCTCGATATATTTTATTTCTTCTTTATCTTCATGTCCGAATATGAAACTGATTTTTCTCTCTTGCTTCCTTCTTTGTTCCCAGCGTGCATGTCATTGTGGCTCTTTTAGAAAAATATACATCATGAACTACACTAATATTGACCAAGAATTTGTTCCTCTCCATGCTAAGACGCACGCTGGAGAGAAGACTAGTCATGTATTGAACTATATCTGTAAGAAAAGAAAGCAGGAAGCGAGAGAAAAAAATCAGTTTCACATTCGGACATGAAGATAAAGAAGAAATAAAATATATCGAGAGAGACTTCAACTTCAACCGTGATCATGTCTTCATTCATAAATTAGGACGGACTACTATACCGACATTATGAAAATATAATGCGCGACAGTGATTTGCGAAAGTGATTCGATTTGTTTTTGTTTTTAGATTTTTTTCATTAATTTTTCAATAGACCCTAAGAAGAGTCGATGGGTTTGCGAGGTATAGAAGATCCCATGTTAAAGTAGTTGTGCACAAGTAAACCTTATGAGCGCAAAACATACTGATATTTTCGAAATAATTCGAACTAACTCGATAGATAAACTCGAAATAAAACTATAGTACGCATGGTTAAAAAAGTCTCGGTTCCGAAAAAGAAAGAACCGTCTACGGTCGGGGTTCCGATTCCCGATGAGGAACCGAAAACAAGAGAACAGCGGTTCCGGTTCCATTCACAGAACCGAGAACCGAACATCCCGAGTTGTAAGTGGATAGCACATAACTCATCTATGCACTGTGATAGTAAGCTACTTTCGTGTCACAGAACGGTAAAATACTTGAAAATTCATAATTTTAATTGAGAAGTGCGTAGATAATTATCTTTTTATACACCTAGGATCTGGGAGCTTTTGAGAATTCATACTTAGTTTTCTGAGATATAAGTACTATTTTCTGTCCTTTAACAGCTGCTACGTTATCTAATTTGATACATTCCGATAAACTAGCGAATGCATCGGCGACCTGATGAAACAAAGTCAAATTTCAGTTACCAACTCGCTTTTGTAACTTAGTTTATCGACGACGAATTTCTTGTAGAGAGTTGATTACTGTGTTCCAGATGGCCTTTTGAATGTACTTCTAATTATCTTTTTCGCTAAACATAAAAGAAAACCTTCTGTTCATCCACAGTTTTCAAAAAACTTTCTCTGTTTTACTCGAACTACCATTTGGTGTAATTTTTTTTGCTAATAAAAAAGTATTCGCCAAAACTAAAAGAAATATATTTAAAAAATTACAGAAATATAGCGTCTCAAAAATCAAAATTTTTGTATCTTTCCCAAAAATTACCTGAAACGAAAGGGTTAATTTGATAAATAAATAACAGAATAGTTTTTGCTTAAGTGTCATTTTCATGTCGCCTATAATTAATGTTCAACTTAAATCATATTTTTTTGCTTTATCACCTCTAGAGTAACTGAATGATTAGCTTAAGATCCGATTCTTTTTATTGAAAATTACATATGCCATTTTTTTCAGGGTGAGTCGAATTCAAAGCTGATTTATAAATGTATGATGTTTTTATTCAAATCATATTGTTTAAGACAGAATAACGGACTTATTCCCTTCTGCCTTTCGTTAAGATAGAAAAAATGAAACATTACTGTTTATTTGATTATACAGCCATACGGAAATGGAAAGATGAATATTAAGCGAGATGAATGGACGTCTAACCTGACTATACATGTTTATTGTCTTCAATTTTGCAGAAGCTAATAAAATGAGTCAATCTATTGAGTAAGCTATTCATTCATTGCCTATGTATAGTTTGTTTACTCACTTTCTCAAACGATAAGACTTCGACAGAAACAGTCAAATTTCAGTTACCAACTCGCTCTGTAACTTGTTTCTCTGTAACGAATGTTTTGTCGAGAGTTGGCTACTGTGTTCCAGATGGTTTTCGGAAGATTGGGATTCTACTTCGCGAGATCAATCCCTGCATATATACCCCAGATGGATCGACGAGGATATAGTGTAGACAATACTAGAAAGGTTGGGCAGCTTAGATATAGAGACTATGGTAGAATTGTCTATTTCTCAATTTTCTTCCAGTTGCCATTGTTCCACCTGGTTTTTGTCAACATTTAGAACAGATCTTGATTTACCATTTATGTATATTCGATTTCCAAACGAAGAAAATAGATTATCTTTTTTTCGAATAAATGACAAGAATTCTTGACAAGGCCGCTTGATGGTGGCGGAATTTGATAATTGCTCTGGTGGGAAAGAATTATATTTTCTCACTGAACATACACCGATACAATCTGATCATATTCGTCGTCCAGTGTGGCAATACTAAACGTAACAGAACCTGTCACCATTGTAAAGGAAACGATGCCTTTACTGAGTTTATTATAAAATAGACTGCCTGTATGTGCTGTAGAATGAGTATATATAGTGTAAGTAACAAAGAAACATTTGAGCGACCGACAGTTGAGCGCCCTGACATTTGAGCGACCGACAGTTGAGCGCCCTGACATTTGAGCGACCGACATTTGAGTAATAACGACCGTTCAGCACCAAGTGTTCACCCTCACCGTACACAGCCTCACCCTCTAGAGATCTCCAAATAATTCAGTTCATAATCGGACGACAAAAAAATTGTTCTGATCATCGTTATCAAAGTGAATAATCATTCGACTTTCCTGGTCGGCAAAAAGTCATATTGAAAAGTGTCTAATGTCGGGATCGCTCAAATGTCGGGCACTCAAACGTCGGTTGACGCATTCTGATAGCGTCATCGTATATTGTGATGTGAATATTTTGATGACGATATATGACGCATCAGAAAGAATGTGATACATCATGCGCGTACATCAAAAATGAAAAAGAAAATGAGTAATAGTTTGTTCCATAGTTGATTATGTGAGCGTAATCCAAAGGCACATCACTTTGTGTTACAGTGTTGGTGTTCTCCCATTGCGTTTTCTTCCTTCTTCTCTACCATTGTACAGAGCATTATCAACCATTCTGGTTCTTGAATGTCTTCTTGCGGTCCAACGATTGGATTACTAAGTATTGCAGAGATAAAAGTTTTATATTGAAAAGTAGCGCTTGACCAAGGGCAGTGCGAAGATATAAAAGCAAGATGCAAGTACCTCAGAAATCGGAGAACATAAAAATCCGAAAATCTTTCAACCATTTTTTGA